CCCCCCCCCCGCCCCAGCGCTACCGTCTCAAAGCCAAATAGGCTGCGGCCACAGGTGGCCCCCCACCCACCCCACTACCCAGCATGGAGCGGGTGGGCATGGGTGGCCACAGCAGCTTACCTGGGGACCGCTTTGGGCCAGCCGTACCCTCCTTCTTGGCAAATGGCTCACTGCGAAGGCATAGCTCCAATGACTACCCTGGCTATGCAGGCAGTGTTCATCCTCACCTGGTGCCAGGGAATGGTATGCGACGGGCCAGCGATCCTGCCCGGACAGTGGCCAACCCCCATGCTGTGCCCAAGGTGAATCGTTTTAAGAGCATGGGTAATGTGAATGTGCCAGGAGCAGGCAGAGTTGCCCTGCAGCCCTTGGGTGGTTCTGATGCCAACCTACAACGCCATGTCTTCTCCCCACGCCCACCCAGCATCAGTGAAAATGTTTTCCTGGAGACTGTGAGCGTGGAGGGCCCTGGCCCAGGCACAGAATCTGGCTTGCTGGAGATGGAACAGTACTTGAACTACCCTGCGGACAGCTTCCCATGCCAGGGGACAGGCATGGAGCTCCAGGGTGAAGGCCCCTATGGCAGTGCTCGCCGAACCACGGGGGGTATGCCATTGAACCCAGGTGGGCACGGGGATATGGAGGAGGGCTTGCTTCAGTCTGAGTTCTCCCTCACTCAGTGCCAGATGAATCAGCACTTCATGAGTATGTGTGCTGTCAATGGGACCATTCCAGCTCCTTGGGATGAGCCTCCCCAGGGCAACCTGGAGTTGAATTCTGGGCAGCCGAGTGCTGGTGCCCCCACCACTCCCATGTCTGGGGGACACTGTCACCATCACAGTACTCAGTACCCACTACCGAGTGCTTGTGGGCAGCAACCCAAACTCGTGAGCACATGCCAGGACAGTGGATTTTCTGGCGGGCACCGGCTCAACCGACTGCAGATCAAATCTGAGCAGCATTATCCAGCACCTGCCCCAGCGCTTGCTCCCTGCCAGAACGCCAAACCCCCTGGGCCCATGCAGCCTCCTGCATCCTTTGGCCAAGCCATGAATGTGGGGCCTGGTGGCTACCAGTCTGAGGAGCAGGCACGTGTCAGTTACATGGGCATGTTGAGCCCAGCGGGGAGAAGAGCCCAGACCCCCACCCTGCAGGCCAAAGAAGTGATGGTCCGTAGCTATGTGCAGGCCCAGCAGGCTCTGATGTGGGGAGACCAGCTAGCTTCCAAGGGAGGGGAGGCAGGTATGGGGCTGGGCAGCGAACCTGGACAGTGCCAAGCCATGCAAGCACCACCGTACCTCAGCCCCAAGTACTCTGGTTATCAAGACAAACCGGACCACCTGCAGGGTCTGGCAGAAAACCAGCACCTCTTAAGCCCCCCATGCTTTAGCCCTGACATGGTGCCACACCCGCCCAATGGCCCCAAACCACCTGGGCACCAAAACAGTCTGGGCTATGCAGCCAATCTTGCAGAGCCAAGCCATTCCTATGAGGGGGTGGAAGCCAGCCCCCGGCGCCTACTTCGCTTGCCTCCTGTCCGCTCCGCACCTGAGGGGCCCAATAATCCCCTGCTATATTACCCAGGCCAGGGTACACACGTGGAGGTGGGCAAAGGTGGGCATAAGCCTCTGGGTCAAATGGCAGCAAGCTGCGGGGGTCCTGGGCATTATGGTGGAAACTTGGAAGAACTGAAGGGCAGCTCCTATCCCTACCTGGATTCGGGGGAGCAGGTGGCCAACAGCTTGGACTCGCTGGACCTGGAGAACACGCACCTTGACTTTGCTGCCATTGTGGAGGATTCAGAGGCACCTGCACTGCTACCTGGACCCCCAAGCCCTGCTGGTGGCCTCCTGCTTCCTGCATCTGGCGGTGCCAACATGGCTGTGGGTGACATGAGCTCCATGCTGAGCACTCTGGCAGGGGAGAGCCATTTCCTCAACTCCCTGTCCTAACTGAGGGACATAAGCTATCAGGTGGGCACCTCTGCAGCCAGGGGGTCCCCAAACCTTATTGGGCAGAGGCAGGAGATCCCCTGGAGCTCTCTACCATGTATGCCTTGGGGGCAGGAACACCCCTGCAGTCTCCCCTTCCTCAGTTTATGAGTGTCAGGCTTTTTCATGGGAGGAGCCCTGCTGAGTCTAAGACACAGCTGCAAGCGGGGTTCCTGGGCACCTCTGCAGAGGGTAACTTGCTACACCTGTCCGCTCCATTCCAGTGCCACCTTTCCCTGCCTTCCCCAGGCCTGTGGACCAAGCGGTCCTGTGCAAAGTCTTAACGTCGAAACCAAAGAGTTCCACCCCTGCAGGCAGGCTCCCTCCCTATGTCTCTGCTGCTCCCACTCAAATCCTAGTCTTTGTCATGACTTCAGCTGCTCTTTGCTTGACAAGAGCACCCACCCTCCCTTGCTCAAGGATGGGAGAAGGGTGAGGCTATTCTCCACTGTGGGGATGCTGGGGGGAGGGCATGGGGTGACTGGTGCTGCCTGCACCACTGTGTATATAGTGTGCATATGTGTATGTCTCCCTTGCGGGTGTCACCCCAGCCTTTATTTTGTTTGAAAGAAACAGCAGTGCCCCTCCCTCCCCATTAAACCCTTTCTCAGGGGAGTGTGAGCTGTGTGCCTCTTTATCCCTGCAGATGGGCTCCAAGCTGGCCCGCTGTTTCCGGGTGTTATACACACATCCCTACACCCCTTCTTTTCCCTCAGCCAGGACCAGGTTGGCCCATTTGGGCCAGGCCCTGCAGAAGCACCTGCTTTTGGATTGGGCTTCTACCCGCAGCATGTGCTGCCCAGATGACTACTCGCACAGCGATTCCCATGGTGGGGGGGGGAGGGGAAAGGGGAGTGCTGCCCCCCTTGCACATGCAGAATCACACTGACACCCACATACACATGGAGGAATAGTCTCAAGGTATGGCTCAGTGCTTCTGGGGTTATACCTGGGTCTCGGGAGCTTCTCCTGTAGACCATCTGCGCACCTCTGGGGCCTGCTCTGGGCTCTCCCTTAGGAATTTGAGGGTGGGGGGCACTGCAGCATCTCTTGGGCTGCTCTGTCAGTCTGGGGACTCTTTCCAAGGGTCTCAGGCATTATGTAGGTGTCTTTGGGGCTACCCTGGACCTCTTTCTAGGGTGTCTGGGTAGCATTTTGATGCTTCCAAGCTGCCCTAGGTTCTCCAGTGTTCCTCCTCAGGGCTGTCTTGTTGCCTCTGCAAGATGTCTGGGCTCCTTAAGGCTTCTCCCAAGGCCTCCAAGGGCAAGCTCAGCCTCTCTAGGACTGCACTGGGCATTTCCAAACCTACCAATGTTTTGTTTTTTTTTTTTTAGACCATCCTGGTGTCTCCTCAGGGCTCTTTCTGGGTAGTCAGAGTGCTGCGGAGACCCTTCCCAGGGTCTCTGGGTGGCTGTCTTTCAGCTGTTGGAGCTGTATCAGTTACTCCAAGGCTACTGTGGGTTCTCTGGGCTGTTTCAGGCCCTTCAGGTCATTCTCTAGAGCCTCTTTCCTTGTCCCTGGGTCTATTCTCAGGCTTTCTGGGGCTCTTCCAGGGTCTCTAGGGATTCTGCAAGAGCCCCTGGGGCTTTTTTGGTATTTCCAGGGACTGTGAGATCTCTGTGGCTGTTTCAGGGTCTCGAGGGTACTGTGGGCTCTGTGGGGCCTTTCCAAAGCGTGCAGGGTTTCCCCCGTCTCGGGGCCCGCGAGGCTCGTACATCTCCTGTGGGTCTGCTCTCGAAATCGCAGGTCTTCAGGGCCTGTCACCTCCTGGTCTTCTCCCAGGGTCTGTTTCGGGGGATGGAGGGCCGACTGTGCCGGCGGGCGCTAGGACCGCGCGGAAGGGGCCGGGGGGAGGGGGGA